GGGGCTCCTCCTCCTCCTTCTCCCCCACATATCCTTCTTTCCATCCTCCTCCTCCTTCCTTTGCTTCAGCCTCCCGTCACCCTCACATCGGCCCCACGGTGCCTAATGTGATGACCCTCTGCGGGGCAGTTGGTAGGGACAATCCCCCGCGCCATCTCCATTCTCTCTCTCTCTCCCTCTCACCGCCCACTACGCGTCAAAAACGTTAGTTTGTTTTTCTACGCGTCTAAATAAACATTGATCTATCTTAAGATGAAGAAAAACACGCGAATAACAAAATCGTCGAAAGCGGTGTGCCGAAAGGTGGTCCGTAGACGCCTATAAACGTACTGCGTGGACAGGTGTATTCGAAATGTCATGTTCCCTATTCGAAACGGCCTTATGAATGGCAATTCGCAAATGTCGAACGTAACGCAATGTACTTTTTAGTGCACTAAATAAAATATTTGGACCGTAAAACACCGCTTTTTTACCAATAAAATATATTCTCATAGCTTTAGTATCAATTACGATGTATGGTTAGAAAGTTTAATTTAATTTTTATTCCCCTAAAGAACGGACGTAAGCTTCCAGATTATTTGCCGGTATTTAACTTTGAATTCCCGCTCTAATGGTCAGTAGATTACATTGATTGCACCCCATTTCTCATAAATCCATTTCTCATAAACCCATTTCTCATAAACCCATTTCTCATAAATTCCATTTCTCCTAAACCCATTTCGGTACTTATCAAGTTGGGGGGGGGGGCCACTTTGGGTGCTTATTAGGGGACACTTTTTTATCGCTTTTTCGAGTCTATCTGGGGTAGTTTTTTACGCTGAGTGCATAGAGAGTAGCCACAGCATGCGAAACCGTCGGGTTTATCCAGAAAAACCGCGAAAAAATTTATTAATAAAAAGTGTACTTATGCAAAATTTGAGGCTTACCACATTGTCAGGCAAGGTGGGCCGTCGCTTCGGATGGGCTGCCGCTCCACTCTTTCGAAATCGGGGCGCCTGGCCGCTTCGCGCGCCTCGGGCGCCCCGATTTCGAAACCCTGTACGAGCTCACACCCATCCGAAGCGACTAGGCCCCGGGTGGCACGAAGCCTTATTTTTAGGTTAATACCGGGTGTCTGCATCTCTAAATCTTAACAAACGTTTAGATAAGTGTATTTTACTACTCTGATTTTGTTATATTCGAAACCAGCACAAAAAACTAGCCTAGAAAGACTCAAAAAATCGAAAACCAAAGTGGCCCCCCCCAACTTGATAAGTACCCCCATTTCTCATAAACCCATTTCTCATAAATTCCATTTCTCATAAACCCATTTCTCATAAATTCCATTTCTCATAAACCCATTTCTCATAAATTCCATTTCTCATAAACCCATTTCTCATAAATTCCATTTCTCATAAACCCATTTCTCATAAATTCCATTTCTCATAAACCCATTTCTCATAAATTCCATTTCTCATAAATCCATTTCTCATAAATTCTCCTAGCATTGTTTTTTTGCAAAATTTTACTTCGTTCACCGTTCAAAAACCGAACGTTCACCAAAATGACCACGATAGTATGTCCCTATATTGAAGTCAAACGAAATTGCCAAATCTGCCGCTACCGTTCTGGTACTGAGCGAATTCCGGTGGAATCATCAATCCAATGAGCGACGTGGTGATCGGCAACTCTCCGAACATCGCCTTCCGCTTCCTCAGCCCGACCTTGTGCAGACTCGAAATCGTGGGACGATCGAGTTCCTCCGGGAACTGTGACAGCATAAATTATGTGAAAGTTTATGTTTATGTTTATTATGTGAAAGTTTTGAAAATTATGTCACATTTATGTGAAAGGGAATTTATGAGGAATAGAATTTATGAGAAATGGAATTTATGAGAAATGGAATTTATGAGAAATGGAATTTATGAGAAATGGGTTTAGGAGAAATGGAATTTATGAGAAATGGGTTTAGGAGAAATGGAGTTTATGAGAAATGGAATTTATGAGAAACGGGTTTAGGAGAAATGGATTTATGAGAAATGGGTTTATGAGAAATGGATTTAGGAGAAATGGGTTTCCGCCGATTACATTTAGCACTAATAGACGTTTTAATCAAGATCTTCTGCCAAATTTTAGACCTCCTCCGAACTGAAAACCCTAGGTTGTTTATCTAGTAAGGTGTTTCGGCCCTATACTTGTAGCAACAAACCTAAAATACCTATCAAACCCTAGTGCAAGCAGGGCTGGTACCCAGATCAAAATTACACGTGTAAAAACAGCCAAAAATTTACACGCGTGGTAAAAAAATTACACGTCAAATTTACACGTCACTTTTGGGATTTACACGCGTGTAATTGAGTTTTATAAGGGTTTTCAAGGAAACATGGCCGAAAATTTACACGCGTGTAAAATTTTTACACGCGTGCAAAAATTCGCAGCCATAGTGGGCCAGGGATGGGCCAGGGATGAATGGATGAAGGGTCAATTCTAATCTTTTTTCGAGTAGTTTTACGCCAGGGAAGGAACCTAAAGCTATTTGTAACGGGTTTCATAGCTTTTGAGCAAAGTGCAGTAAAAGTGGGAAGGGTGTTTTGAGCTGCGTGAAGGAATTTCTAAGGTGAACTGAGTGGGCAAATGACATAAAACTTTCTAAATTCTCGCACTTTCGCCAGTTTCGGGTTCCGTATGGTATAAAAAGCAAACTGAGCCGATCCAATTAGTTTCGACCAAATAAGTGGGCGCAGTTTTTGACGAATTGTCAAAATACGAATGTTACCTACAACGGAAAAACCTTTAAATTTTTAGGTAAGAAAATTACATTCGGAAAAATGGCGAAAGCGCGAGAATTTAGAACGTTTTATGTCATTTGACCACTCAGTTTACCTTAGAAATGCCTTCACGCAGCTCAAAACACCCTTCCCACTTCAACACACGTGTAACTGAAATCCGAAATTATATATTGTTAAATTTCGTTATTTATAATTTGTTTCTTGTTGTTGTTGATTGCGTTGTCGCTTCGGTCATAAATTTTACATTTGATACGCGCAAAAGAGCTACCAACGCGATTTGGCGTGAAATTTTTGACTTGAAATTTTACACGCGTGTAAATTTTTAGGTAAGAAAATTACATTTGGAAAAGGTGTGTAAATCGCTCAAAAAAAGGCCCTTCACAAAACGGCATATAAAAAAATTTCCAGGGCACTTGGCGATCCAACTTTTTTTTGGCTCACTGTTGGTACCCGTCTGCAGTTTGTCTCGTTTTAACTTTTCCAAAAAAATATTTTTCCGATTTGCTGGAGGCTTCCAAAGTTGGCGTGTAAATTTTTGGCGCTCGCGTGTAATTTTTTTCGGGTTTTTCCCCCGTCTCCGAGCACGTCACTTTTTTTTACCACGCGTGTAAATAAAATTTACACGTGTGTAAAAAATTGTAGAATTTTACACGCGTGTTTTTTCATTTGTTAACAAATTTGTTAAGGAAAATTTCGGAATTTACACGCGTGTAAAAAAAAATACACGCGTGTAATTTTTTTACACGCGTGTGTAAAAAATTTACACGTGTGGTAAAATTTCAGGCGTGTAATTTTGATCTGGGTACCAGCCCAGTTGTGACCGGAAAGTCCTTGGGAATCGGCCCAGCGAATGGGCGCAATGTGGTGGATCTTGGGCTGGGATCTCAGTCAGTTAGTTTGTGTGTCCTTGCTATACCCGCCCCTACACTCCCCCTTCTGGTAATGATCCCTGCATGTGTATGGGTGTGTCGATTCTTTCCAGAATCTCGCCAATTACCCTCCTATTGTTATGTTTATCTTTTTCTATTAATGAGCTAGCCTTCCCGATTATTCATTTTGACTGTTTCTACGAAGGTTGCACGGGCATTCAGAGGACAGGGAAAGCGCCTGTGAGAGGTGGGGCGGCTCCAGGGCACTCCAATGGCCGCGCGTGTACTGTGCACGCTCCGCGATCCATGATCTCCCCATAGAAAGGGCCAAAAAATGGTCAAAAATTTTGAAGTTCAAATCGCTATAACTTTTGAAAAGGCCATGTGAATCGGGAGCGCTGCTCTAGGAATGTAGAGAATAGTCTGGGCTATGTTATGGAACAGGTCTCAGGCCGATCTACAGCAGAAATAAGGACTTCTATAGCTTTTTAGCTCAAAAGGTGTCAAATTCCGTCCTTTGTGCGAAGCGTTTTTCTTTGAATTTAGGCTCATTCTTTGTGGTTTTTTCACTGAACTTGCTTCGGAAAGCATTGCCAATGTTAAATCAGCCACTTTTTTGGTCCTGGGAGGCTAAAATTTGTTGTTGCAATTCCGGCAAGCTTTTAATTTATTAATTTTTCGCATACTATGCTCCATAAATAATCTATTGGGACTTTTCCAGGCTTTTGGCGCAAAAAGCAAAGGGTTAAAGCGCTCCCTTGAGGGTGGGGAATCGAACCCGGACCCTCAGACTGTGGCTCATACCGGCGCCTTAGACCACTCGGCCACGCCCCGCCCCCCTCCCCCACGCACGCTCTGAACGCCCGTGGTTGAAGGCTATTTTTTACCAAAAATTTAATAAAATAGACTGGACCCAATTTTTGTGGGCTTCAGAAATTCTCTCTCTCTTTCAATTAGGAGGGAATTTGGCGCTTTTTTGCTACACGAGAAAATCTACCTTTTTGGGGCTGCAAACACCCTTTTTGAACGATTTTTAGATGCTTTCTATAATTTTTCGGGTGTTCGTTAGTAACTAGCTAGTAGCTAGAATAGCTAGCTAGAACTTAGTTTTCGAAATTTACTTCTAATCCTTGACTTTCTCGGTCTTTTTTAGTGCCTAATTTTTAGTTTGGCGCTTTTTGCTGCGCCAGAGTATATCCTTTTTCAGGCCCCAGGATCGCCTTTCTGAAAGATTTTTTGGGACGCAGTATCAACTCCGTTCTAATCCTTAATTTTCTGAGCAGATTTTCAGTAATTCGCTTCGCAAAAACCCATTTTATATTACTTTTTGCAGGGCGGCGGCGGAAGCAGCCAGAAGAACCACATGGGCCTCATACAACATCTCGATTGTATCAAGTAAGCTCAGTTCCGAACTAAAATATCATACTTTTAGGGATGAATACAACCAAGTACAATCCCAGCTAGCCCAACAACGCCAAGAACTCGAAAAGATCAGCATCGGTGCGTTTTTAGTGGCTTTTTGTTGTGGTGGTTGTGAAGGTCCGCCATCATCCCCCCACATATCCTCCATTCCCACTCTCCGTTGTAACTCCGTCATAGGTGGTGTTGCAGAACGGGAACAGATGCAACGACAAATGATGATGTGCTACGAGATGAGCATGACGATGAACGCCGAGATCATGAAGCAGAGCGAGATGAATAAGAAGCTCAGCAACGTCTTGCAGCAGGTTGGATGAAACCCTTGGTTTTCGATATTCGCGCAAGGGGGGGGGGGGAGGGGCAACCTTTTGTCGGCAAATCCTAGATTTTCATCTCAAAATTCAAATTTTGGTTTTGTTGTACATTGTGTTGACTATTCCTGAGTAAACGGGACATATTTGAACCCGAACGGGTTAAAGGGCTGCCGACGGCATGTGTCAATCCCCCCTCATCAACAAATTGGCAAGTAGCCAACAGGGCAGAGAGCGCGCCCTGGGGAGAGGCGCAGAGACATTTTCTTTCCCGCGCGTAATCGATTGATTATGCCGTCGGCATCCCTTTAAAAACCGGGTGATATCGAAAGAACGGCTTTTTCCACCCAGAATCACCTAGATCTTCAAATACAGTTTTTTTCCAAGGTGACCTGGAGTCATAGGAAAAAGCCATCCCCCCCGCTTATAATCGAGAACCTTAGTCAAAACTATGTTTTTATTACAGGTGATCGCCCTCCTGCCGCCAGAGCAAGCCACGACAGCATCAGCAGCTTTTGACCGCGCGAAGCAAGTATCGGCCAGTGAAGCTTTGGCCAGCACATCACAAGCACAAGCAATGGCTCTTTTTGGCGGCGGACTTGGCATGCAGGTGACTCAAAGCTCGGAAATTCATGATCATTGCTGTTTAGATGCCCGGAATGCCCTTCATGAACCCCGCTGCCGCTTTTGCCGCCAATCCCGCATTTGCAGCGTTAGCACAGGTGTCGTGAATGATGAAAAGCCATGACTATTGCTTTAGGCAAACAATGAACGAACAAATAGCGCCAGGCCGCGATCACCGAAGGTTGAAGACGGCGACTCGAAACGGAGACGGGTTGACCCTGATGATGAGGAGGCCGTGAATATTGACGTCGAAGTGGAGGAGCCGAGTGGGAGCGGGCAGACCAATGGCCACGAACGGAAGCCCAAATCGGAGAGTGGACGGTAAGGGGCAAACTTTTTGGAAAGATTGATGTATCTTTTTGTATCGCGGCATTGTTTTACCTTTTTTATATAGACAAAAACGTAAGAAAAACTCGGAATAAAAATCTGGGAATAATGTAAGATAATATTACAAAAAAAAATTATTTTATTCTTTCCGAGATAGGCATAGTTGCAACGTCTTTTTATTGATATTTTTTTGCTTTGATAGAGGCGGTTTTTGGCTTTCGGTATATTTAATCTATCAAGAAGTATAAGTTTTTCCTTTCGGCGTATTGTTGCTATTTGAAGCTAATGAAAACGTTTATTTTTCAGCGACTCTGCCCACTCGGTAGCATCATCCGGCGCTTCGACCCCAGGAATCCCCCGTGCTCCCCGGAATCCGTTCGACGCGCTCGCCGCCGGAGCACGACTTCCACAAATCCCCGGCGGCCCACACATGATCCCCGGTCTCGACCCGCATGCCCATGCGAGAATGGTGAGTAAAGCGTAGGAACCTCCTTTGTTTGCTGTGCTGTCTTGAATGGTCTTGCTCATTGTTGAAAATTTCTTTTCCAAACAATTCGTAAAATTCTACTAATTCTTTCATTCCGCAAAAAAATGGCTTTTTTCTATCGTCGTCAACGCGAGCAAGGCCATTCGCCGTGTGTGGTTGTTATCGTTTTGTCCTGTAGGTGTTGGCACGGCTAACCCGTCCATGTCAAGCTCAACAAGTTCAAGCGCAACAAGTTCAAGCTCAACAAGCACAAGCACCAAATCCAGAGCAACAGCAAGCACCCGAGGCCCGACCTCAAGCTCAACCCCCAAGGCGTATCATCATCATCCCGAGGCAATCGGCACCTCCGAATGTGACCAAGCCACCAGGCGCGTTCGCTGTTCCGCGATTGCCCATTCGGCTTCAACCCCACCAGCAGCCACCCCTCCATCACGTATTGCCTAGGCCCGGCGATCTACACAAGCCACCCGAGCTCCTCCACTTCGAGAAACTCCAACAGGCTATCGAGAAACGGCGATTCGTTGAACACTGGCTGACAAGTCAAGTCAAGTACACGTCGAAGCCGGTTTGTTTGGATCCAGGACGCATGGCCAAGATTTCATAAGTGCAGCTTCCCTGGTGCCATCTGATGGCCTTCCAAGGCTTCCAAGGCCTCCCCGGCAGCTAATGATAACATTTTGCGGCACTAATTACCTAACAAAATCTTGGAAATCTATAGCAACGGCTAATAATACTAGTAAACAAATTGTTTGTATACATCGGATGATCGGAAAGTTCTTACACAGTATCTAGGTCAGTAAAATATTTTTTGCAAGAGTGCCGTCAGAGTCTGGTGAAACCGTTGGAGCTGTTGGTAAAGGTAAGAGAAATAATTTTGCACATGGTGAAACCATCCTATGTATTCAAACAATTTGTTTACTGTTATTATTATTAGCCGTTGCTCTGGATTTTCGAGACTTTGTTAGGTAATTAGTGCGGCAAAATCTTATCATTAGCTGCCGGGAAGGCCTTTGCAGATGCGCAGATGGCACCGGGGAAGCTGCACTTATGAAAATTGGCCTTGCGTCCGTCGCCCGTTTGTATGTCTTCACAAAACTGCATGTCAATCACAGAATTTTCCCCTTTGCTGTGGCTGATTTCTGTAAATTCTAATTATCTCTTTTTGTAGTTGGCCGCTGCCGGAATGAACATGCAGAATGGGGCTCGCCCGTCGTACAGTTTCACGATTGAGAGCGGCGTGCAACGGCCCACATCTTTTCCCAACGATGCCATAACCGCGCCGGGGATGCCCAAGAATTTGAAGAAGGTATCAGTGGAAAAGTTTTATGTAGATAATTTTTTAGGTCGATGAACTGCCCCATGGAGACGTCGTTTGTGCAGTAACGGTGGCAAAGAATAAGGAGACGGTGTTTACGGGAGGAAAAGGATGTGTTAAGGTAATTTTTATGTTTATCTCTGTGCTGCGGTTTCTAAACTGTTTTTTAACTATGTATGCTACAACTAAAACTACAAATTTTGGATAGAAAAATACAAAAAAAAGCGATTTTTCGACCAAAATTTCATCCAAGTTTTTTTCTGAGGTTGTTTTAATGTTTGCCACTTAAAATATAGTTAAATTTTACTAAAACTTTGAAAACACGTCTATTACGTTCAGGGGCGTAGCCAGAAAAAAAATTTCGCAGGGGGGCGAAAACATTTTTCGAACAAAATATGAAAGTAAAAAGTTGATTCTAAGAATAGACCCTTTTTTCCAGGTCTGGACGTTGCCGTCAAGCTCTGAGGGCTCAAGCCCGCCCGCTTCTCCTCGATCACCAGTCTACAGCCTTGGCTGCCTGGGCGATCAGTACATCCGGTCGATTCGATTAACGGCCGACTCGACGCGTCTCTACGTTGGTGGTGAAGCCTCGACGATCGCCGTCTGGGACGTGCAGGTAAAGATCTCGTTTAAAGGGCTGCCGATGGCATGTGTCGATCCCCCCCCCCCCTCATCAACAAATTGGCGAGTAACCAACGGGGCAGAGAGCGCGTCCTGGGGAGAGGTGCAGAGAGATTTTCTTTCCGGTGCGTAACCGATTGACGATGCAGTCGGTATCCCTTTAATGACGGAAAAGAGCTTGTTTGACGCGTCGCGTAGCTTTAAGAAGCTTCCAAAACCTTTTTTTCAGGAGCAAAAAGTCTTGAAAGAACTGGAAAGTGACGTGCAAGCCGTGTACGCGCTGTGCATGTCGCCCGACGAGAAGACGCTGTTCGCCTGCGGGTCTGATGGGAAAGTGTTCGTCTACGACACGCGCACTTTTGAAAAGGTGCGCCTTGTTAGCTATTTAATTTTTTTTTCTGCAGATGTCAACCCTGCAAGGGCATAGCGACGGCGCATCGTGCGTCGACCTCTCGTCGGATGGGCTAACGTTGTGGACGGGCGGTCTCGACAATACGCTCCGAGCATGGGATATTAGGTGGGTTTTTGGAGGGCAAATAGAGTTAGAGTGCAGTTTACCCCCCCGCGCCAGCCGACCCTCACCTAGCGTATCTCAGACCCCTGTTCATCTACAGGTGTGTAAAGTATACCAAAATACTCACCAGAGCAAGACAAACATGAGATACGCTAGGTGGGGGTCGGCTGGGGGGGGCGTAAACTGCACTTGGCCGGCATATAGTTCTGGACTGTTAGCGGGGGTTGAATTTTTGTTTTTCTGTCTATGCCTACCTGTTGATAATTTATAATCTATTTTTTAGAGTGTATTAGAGTAATTTTGATTGCTAGAAAGTTCTAAAAATGAGGAAAAGTTTCAAAATACGAAAGTTTGGCCTTTCTTTGGTCATTTTTCATAGATATTCTTGCCCAAAAATTCAGCCATTTTATATAATTTTTATAATCACGTTGAGCTTTCTGTATCTAAGAATGATGTAAAACGCTATAAAAAGGATCCATATTTTGTTATGGGGCCGTACAGGATTACTGGAACAATCCCCGTCCGGTAAAAAATCTGAAATATCGGGATTTTTTCACAAATGCAATTTTCAGGGAACTGAAGGAGACGTCGAAATACGACTTCCCGTCCCAAATCTTCTCGCTCAGCTGCTCGCCAAAGGATGATTGGGTGGCGGTGGGAATGGAGAGCAACATTGTCGAGGTAGAGTGCCGCTTTTTTACGAAACTCTGATTTTTGAGGTTGTCTCCCCCAGCCAAGCGGAGAAATACTCGATGCACATGCATGAGGGCTGTGTACTTTCCTTGAAATATTCGCAGACGGGCAATTTCTTCGTCAGCACCGGCAAGGACAACGCCGTCAACCTGTGGCGATCCCCGTACGGCGCCAATCTCGTCAATTATCGGGTATTGTTTTTAGTTTTCTCGGTCCTTTTGCAGTATGGGGGGGTAGTGTTGGTTTTTAGTCCAAAGTCCGAAAAGGCCGAAAAAATCCGAAAATTGTATGGACGTCCACGGACTTTTCGGCCTTTTCGGACAGTCCGCGGTCTTTTTAGTCCGGAAAAGTCCACGGACTTTGGACTAAAAACCAACACTAATGGGAGGCGTGGGTTTTCTGGACGTAGATCCTCAAAATATCGAATGGATCTTATACGGTTTCAGAAAAAGGTCCACTATCTAGTAAAGAAAACAATTGGGCACTGAAGGAAAAAAATGGCTTCCAGTTGTTGCAATTCCAGTCTTGAGATGACTGCACACATATCAGATTTTACAAAAACAACTATTTTCGACGTTAAATTTAAGCTTTTGTGAAAACTTATTTGTTAGGAACGATTAGCATAGACCGGAAATGGCGTTTCGACTATATAAAGGGGCAGAAGAGATTATTTTTCATTTTTGCCATCTGAATTCAGGACAATTATGCAAAGTGCAGGATAAAATGGAGTCAGACGGGGCCAGGGTTGGAAAGTCGCGAAGCGGCTTTTCAACCCTGGTTTTAATTAGAAAATTTAAAAATGTTCTATTTATATTAGAAAAATTGCCTCCCCCTGTTATTGAAACAAAACAGATTTCACTTTTTTTTGTTTCATCGTCATCGCCATATATTCCCAATCAACCCCTAATTCCAGGAAACGTCCTCCGTCCTCTCGTGCGACATCTCCAGCGACGAGCTGATGCTGATCACCGGTTCCGGCGAGAAGCGGGCTACCGTCTACGAGATCGAGCTCCACTAATTGTTTTTTTTCCGCCAAAAGGATCTTGTGAATGTTTCCATTCGTTGTATTTTCAGTTTTAGGATCTAACTATCTTATCTTTTTGTCTCGCCGCCACTCACTTTGGCCATCCCCACCCATCCTTACGGCAATTCTCCCTCCTCGGCATTTCCCGCGCGCGCAACGTCTTCACTCTGCCCCGGTTTTACTATGGATGTAGTTATCCGCCCATCCGTTCACTTCTGCCCCTCTAACCACAATTTGCCTTCCTGATGCCTCAAACTTCAGTGTTTTTTAGCGTTTTTGGGGGAAAATCAGTTTTTCCTGAGCCTAATATTGTAATCGCAAACGTTTTTGTGCTTTTTAATAGATTTCGAACAAACAAAAACTGTTTAGAACACAGAAAACTGTTTTACCGAAGTACTTTTTAGTGGTTTCTGATCAGTTTGTAAAGATTCACGACCATCTATTTACGAAAAATTTACCTTTTCGATCGAGGATCGAGATTATAAGTAATTTATGATTCGTTTTACGATTTTACACCTTTTCTGGAAAGATCACTTTTTAATCGTTCAAAACTCATGTAATTACGCAATTACTCGTAAAAATCGGTTTTCACCCCTCTGGAACTACAAATCCGCGCAAGCTTTGTTCGAAACACCCCCCAAACTCTCAGTTGTCGAAAATTATCGAGTCGGATCTTCTACACACACATTCTCGGTTTCCCCACACCACCATATGCAGTTTGTTCTATTTCAATTTTTCTATTTTTTCCTCCGCTTTTGGCTTTTAGAGTGAGCCGGTTTTTGACTTACCACCACCAGCGACCAGGTTATGCTCTTCATCATCTCGTCCTTGTGGCTGTGCTTCCTCCCCTCCCCACAGTATTTATATCAAAACGTACACTATTTATCTTGTTTTCAGTTTTTTGTCTAACCCCACCCCTGTCAACAATCAAACAACAACTGTCATTGTCGCCCCTGTTTGATAATTATTTTATCGGCAATAAAATTCGAAAACGTAACGCAAATCAGATGGTGTGAACTGAGCAACTAGCCGAGTAAATTGGACGCGTTGACGAACGGATTGTCGCTGCATGGGGGCCACAGATACTCTTCGGACGCCTTCGTTTTCTTTCGAATCTCTCCCACCTAAAATATTACGAAATTCTACGCCAAGCTACTTCATACTTTTGCAGCGGCTTTACTGCTGTAGTCACCATCGAATTTGGACGTCTTGAAGATGTCGTGCTCGATTTGTTGGGCAGTCTTTGGGACCTAAACAGAATTTTACATGCCTGTAGAAAAGAATCACCAAATGATGCTTGGCGTCGAGCCAATTCGACTTCAACGCTTTTCTGATGGCGTCGACGACACCGTTTCTTTTCTAAATACTTTTTTATCAAAGAAAAAAAAAGAAATTTGGTTACCTCTTTCGTTAATTTCGGGATGCGCTTATCATTCAAATCTAGCGGTGGACAATCTGAAAAAGGTCAAGCTCAATATTTCCCCTTTTTTACCTGATACGAGTGGCGCAGCGTCATTAGTCTCCCTTCGTTCATTTGTAGACCTCTGAAAGTTCGGCAATCAATAATGGTAATGGACTCTTAGCGGGACGTACGGAATCTAGACGGAAAATAAAAATTAGTTTTCCCTTCTTCTGCCCCCCGTAAACAGTCCAGTACCGAAATAATACGCCCTAATAACTTACATTGACGCGTCGTTTCGCAAATTCTCCGGCGATCATTGCGCGTGCCTCGTTCGCAATTTCCTTGTCGAGGCGTTCGCGGGCACTCTTGAATGTTCCCTCATCTTCCGCATCTTTGTCCTCTCGTCTTGTGGATCTATATACGGAAGATAAGCTATTTAAAGGAGCCAGGAAGGTGCTATTGCAAATGCTTTTAGACCCCCGGCTCCTTAGAGGAGGGGATCAACAAGCATTTTCGATTCTGCCTTCCTACCCCCTTTAAAGGGACTAACAAGGGGACCTCACGGAGACATGGTGGAATTTCGGAAAACGCTCGCGGCTACCCCCGGGCAATCGACCATTGCGATCACGATGCGCTTGTCAGATTTTTCTAAATAGACCTCTGGACAGAGATACAGCACTTCCGGAAAATGCTGATTTACATGCAAAAAATTTGCATAGAAGTATGGTTTATGAGGCTCTTCCATCACTATGGAATCACCAGTTGAATGGCCGAGTGGTAAGCGACTCGCTAGATAGGATTCTAACGAGGGTTCGAATCCGCTCACGATTTTTTGTTTTTGCTTTTTTGCCAGAGATTTTTGTACATGTCCAAAATCATACGTGCCAAAGTACTTTTAAATTTTATGACAGTTGCCGACGTTACGTGGTCAGAAAATTATTTTGTAAAATTTCTCATTTTTTTTGCAGATTGTCAGGTGTAGGAACTCTAGCCGGCAGAACTGATTTTCATTTTTCGATTTTTCTTTCGCTTTTAATGGCTAAACATTAGGGATTTCGGGCTATTACTAGTAACATTCTGGACTTGTACAAGAATCGCTGGCAAAAAGCAAAAACAAAAGATCGTGAGCGGATTCGAACCCTCGTTAGAATCCTATCAAGCGAGTCGCTTACCACTCGGCCATTCAACTGGTGATTCCATAGTGATGGAAGAGCCTCATAAACCATACTTCTATGCAAATTTTTTGCATGTAAATCAGCATTTTCCGGAAGTGCTGTATCTCTGTCCAGAGGTCTATTTAGAAAAATCTGACAAGCGCATCGTGATCGCAATGGTCGATTACCCGGGGGTAGCCGCGAGCGTTTTCCGAAATTCCACCATGTCTAGGTGAGGTTCCCTTGTAAGCTCACAATTTGCCTCCCGCATACAATTCTCGTTCGTCGACAGGGGCAGCCGCTCCTCCCCCCTCCCATGCCCTTTCCATTTTGTGGCAGCATCCGGTACCGATCGGCCGCCGTCTCCGTCTAAACGACAAAATATTGCCGTATCTCCTAGATTTTACCTGTTTAGGGTTCAAACAAAAATCACAATTCTCCTTGCACGCCTTCGTCTTCTCATCTCCAAAGAAGCGCGCCAGGGAGACGTGACGACAGCTAGAAGGGCGGTTTTAGAAAATAATTATTCGAGCTGACCACGGGTTCTCGATGTAATCCATCATTTTCTGATAGCCAAGCTCGATGGCTTTCACTTGTTGGTCCCGCTCTTTCTCGTTGCCGCTCTTTTTATGCTAGAAGTTGCATTAGGATAAATTTTAGGATATTAGGATTAGGATTGAAGATTATATTCACCTTGACCTGTCCAATTTCCCGCGCCACCAAGAAATTCAAGAAGCCCCGGTCGGATTTGCTGTGATAGATGCGGCAGTAGGCCCGCAGACCGTTTCGACCAGCGCGTCCGGATTCCTAAAAAATGCATCAATTCTTAAGAATTCCGAAAACCTGATAGTAAGCGGCCATATTGGAAGGGCTCGTCCAGTGGATCACAAATCGCACATCCGGCTTGTCGATGCCCATCCCGAACGCGATCGTCGCCGTGATAGCCGCCAGCTCGTTGCGCATCCATTTCTCTTGCACCTCGTCGCGCAACGAAAAAATATGAATTTATTTGGAAAAATAAGTAAGTCTACCTGATTCTTAAGGCCCGCATGGTAGGGGAGGCAAGAAACACCGGCCTGCTCGAGAACGGTCGCCATCTAAAGGCGCTTTAAAAATGCACCACCGAAAACGCAAAAATCTGGGGATTCTGAAAGTTTTTGTGAACATTTTTCAAGTGGGTCGGATTTGAAATGCCGAAATGCCAGCGTGACCTTTTTATTGGGACACCTTGTATGTTAATCGATAAAATCCCGAGTAAAATACCTTCAATTGCATTTCTATAAATACCGGGACCTCCGAAAAAAGAGTATCCCTTTTGAGGACTGCAAAAACACCGCACCTGTTCGCACTCGTCGCGAGTACGACAATATACAATCCCAGAACCAGTGTATTTTCCGTCCTAAAAACAAGATAAAAATTGAAATGATTTTGTATCACCGTAACAAGCGTCGAGGTGGAGCCATCATCCTGCACTGTCAGAATCCGCGTAATAAAGCGCGCCAAGTGTAACTAAAACTAATTCAGGATATTATGGGCAAAAAACCTCGGGCGACGCATTCTTCACCAACTCTTTGACTTGCACATCATAATGCAGATTCGAGCGGTATGTGGGCGTCTGGTAAATGATCAAAATTTGGGTCCGAATGCTAAACCTTGAAAAGTTTGGCCCGTCTCATCTTCAACTGTTGCAGGATGTCTTCTTGAGCCTCGTTTGAAGCAGTTGCGGTCAGTGCGATCCATGGCACCTAGGAAGCGTTAGGAAAACGAGAAAAATACCATCACCTCAGGCGCAATGTCTCGCAGCAGGCCAAGCTTCAGGTAGTCCGGGCTGAAAAAGCCTTTTTTCAAAGCTGCCAAAACTTTAGCAAAATTGAATTGAAAAAATGTTATTTTTAACAAAAAGGCATTCACCGAAAAAGGACTGGAAATTGATTCCTGTCACAGAAAAAGGACTATTGAATTGCAAAAAAATGCCGGTAAAACAAATTGGATGAATATATCGCCCATCCTCGTCAATCGTCAATTGACACCTAAATCGCAAAAATCTGACATCTCTACGGGCTGCTAGAGGGGGCTTAAAAAGCCCGTATTCGAATTCCGATAAATTACCGGAAGTCATGACCCCAATGGGTGACACAATGGGCCTCATCGACAACGATAAAGCTCAATAGATGGCGTCGATGAAGTGATGAGATCAATCTAATAACATAGTTTAAAAGATTTTAGTCAAATAACCGTTGCACAGGATCCGTCGCAATTCCTTCGGGCGTCAAGTAGAGCAGCTTTGTGGTCGGGATCTCTTTTCTCAAGTCCTAAGGAAATCAGAATAGGCAATCCACATCACATACATCGTAAACAGCCCCTCGTTCGGTCGAGTTTAATTTAGAATTAAGGGCAACGGACGGGATTCCCTTGCTCCGAAGCGCGGTTACCTGAAAAAATAGATTCAACGAAACGGGATACGAAAACACACCTGATCGGTAATTAAAGCAATTAATGGCGAGACGACGATCGTGATACCTCCATATAGGAGGGCTGGTAGCTAAACAGGTCGCCTGAATGTACAAAAAAAAACAGCAAAAAACCTGATAGCAAAGCGACTTTCCGGCTCCAGTGGGAAATGAAATGTACACGTCTCTTTCTCCTAAATAAAATGTCAAACGTGAGCTAAACTCTTACTAGTTGACACCGTCGCAATAGCCCGTTCTTGGTTTTGACTCCGGTATGAAGAGAAGCCAAAAACTTCCTAAGTTTCGGTTTATCAACCGAGCCGAAGAGAAATACCTTCAAAATCTTTTGCAAGTTTCCGGTAATTTCGTCGGCCGGCATTTTCTCAACGCCCATATTCTTCGCAAATTTTGATGAGCTCTAAATCGTAACTTCGTGTGAAATTGGAGAAATACTAACCGAAGGTTTAGCCGAGTTTGATGCAGAAGTCGAACAAGCCTCCTGAGCACAGTTACCAGACGATTGGACGGGTTTGGCTGAAGGAGATTTTGCAAGCGGAAAATAAAATTCTCACCACATTTCTGTGGCTTTACAGTGGCAGCCGGGCGCGTTTCAACTTCATTTTGTCGAGGTCGTTTCGCGTCCGTAGCCGACGTGTCTCTAGAATTGACGTAAAGCCGCCCGGAACTTCATACGGCAATGTCCTCTTCGTCGCCCCGTAAAAACTTTGGGAGAATTCGGTGCTGGTTTGCGTATCTGGAATCAAAAAAGCGTAAATAAAAAAAGGTGAACTGACTGGTGTAAGCCTTTTGGGAAAATATGGGCCATTCTGTGCGGGCCGACGATGTGGACGGCCGTGGAGTTTCGATTTCGTCGTCTGATGAGAGGACGATCACATCATCCATCTATAAAGAGTCGTTTTACTAAATTTTATGTTTGCCACAAATTTCAGAACGTAAAATACGTCATTCGACCATATCCCTAACTTCTCCCTTATTTTGGGCTAACCAGGAGCCGTTTTTGAGTATCCACGGCGTTTCGAAATAATAGAATTTTTCGATTACTGTAGACTGTAGAATAATAGAATTAAAACTGTACAGAATTTTTCGCTGATTGCAACCACCAACAACACGACAAGTAATGTTGTAGTTTTAAAGGGCGAAAAATTACATTTCGGGCCTCTTAGCCTTTATAATCATAAGCCATCATCGGAACCATCACAAGCGATTTTTTCATAGCCATTTCGGGCATTTTTTACACTCTAAAACTTCGTAACTTTTGAAATATGGTCCTTCGCAGATTCTGAAACGTAAATTTTAATCAGCGAAAAATTCTGCACAACATAGGGTTGAAATCCCTTTTAGAAACTCCGCGGAAGCTCAAAATCGGATCCGTGTAACCTCTTCAACAAAGCTTCAACCAACACCAGAATCTCTCTTTCCGGTCCCCTTTTTTCAACGAGCTCTCCGATTTTCACGCAATCCGCGCGCCTGACAACGTTAGGCAAAAAAGAGCCCCCCAGAAGCGCAAAGAAGGAGTGGACCCCTGCGGGGCTGCACCACATCGATTTTCCAATAGTTGGCCTGATGCTCTGGCATTCTGCAGCCATCTTTCCAGCCCTAGAAAGAAACAAACGCGTTTCCCGGCCGATTTTCAAGTTTATTTTGCTACTGAAGTATTTATACGTTTAATACTTTTAACAAGTGGTTTTGGCGCCAGTAAATTAATAAAAATCAACAAGCGTAGGATTATAGGTAAATGTCAATAAAAATGTAATAAATCTGTATAAATACTTTCTTGTGGATGTATTCTATAGTTTTTCGGTTATACTTTCTATTCTTGAAATATTCATACAGTCCGGTTCCGACAGATTACTCGCAACGGTGACGCCATCAAATTCCTCCACGTCACGATTTTTGTTTCATCAAATTTTTGCACGAGAATTTTGGTGATTTTTGTCAGACTGAGCCAGCTAAATTCTCTATATAACCTGCGTAAAGCCTTTGTTAAGAATTAGGCAAAATCTCCGGTTTCCGTTTCTCCTAAACCAGTTGTTATTAGTTTTAAATTAACCCCTATTTTTCAGGCCCTTCCTTTGTTCTCGCGCCAATTGAACGTCCTATACATCGTTGATCTCCAAGCGAGAAAATGGCAGGGGTATGGATTGATTGGCTCAGCTAACGAAATCTTCAGGTCGTGGCCACTGCCGAAAAAATACCGACCACCGAGCTCTCCTTTACCAACTGCGTCATCACCTCGCCCGGCGATTTTCCGCCAGGAACCAAGTGGGTTTACAGGGTGTCCCAAAAAAAATTACTCCCCTCTAGCGGCGCGGAGGAAGCTCGGGTCGGGCTGATTTTTACACCATTCGAAAGCTCTCGAAAAGGCGAGAAAACAAGCGGGTTTCGTTTTTTAAGATTTCCGCTCATTTCATCGAAATTTAACGTTTTCAAAAAAAGCGTGCATTTTTTTCAACAGGAATTTCGCAATTAGCATGCAACTTGCATAAATCAGCGGTTTTGATGGTTTTTGGACGTAATATACGCAAATAAAACTACATATATAATACGTTATGAGCTTAAAAAATCTTTCCAGACATGTGGAGATCAGGACCCGATCGTCAAAGGATCGCTTTGTCTTCTCGATTCGTGAAGATCGTGCAATGAAGCCGAAGACGGTTGGCTTTGGGTAATACCCGATTTAGCTTTCCTAGTCTGCTTTTTGCTAGGTTATATCACCGGAAGAGGACGTTGATCTCACTTGGTGAGGAGGTGATGCTGCAGCCGTACAACGTCGATTCGCGACATTACATTGGCGCCATCACGTTTTCCGTGGATTTTCGTGACAAGAAGAAGTGAGGGATCGTTTTGTATATTAAACAGGGTTGAAAAGTCGCATCGCGACTTCAACCCTGGCCCTGTGGGCCCCCCCATGTTTAATAACTTTGCATAAACCCCCAACTTCCTGTGCAGAAAAATGAGAAGCGCGTCCTCTCCCCCATTATATCGGCTTCCCCCACTTCCGGTGCATGCAAATTGAGTCCTAACCAAAAAGCCAGCGAAATGTTCACAAAAACCTAATTTTAATATCGAAAAAAGTTGATTTTTGAAAATCGTGTATGCGTGCAGTCGTGTCATGACCATTACGCAGCTAATGACATATCATACGTGCCGTTAACTTCTTCCTTTACTGCGATACGATTGGAACATAGGGACGGACGTTGCATGCAAATGCACACACATAGACACTATTTTTTATATATAGTTGGAAGTAGGATATGTCTATATAGATAATCTATTTTTAGGGCCGTGCAAGATCCGCTGAATTCCGACCATATGGCCCGAGAATTTTCCGTCAATTTTGCGAATCAAGTCTTTACGAAGGGGATGCAGCTGGTTTTTAGGTAATTTTACCAGTTTTTCGTGCTGTAACTTGCTTTTTATTTTCGGTTCTTTTGCATTCTCGGGGGGACTATTTTCGTAAAGATTAATATATCGGTTTAATATAACGCAAAAACGTTACAAATTGTAATTAAAAAATGCAAAATACAAAGTTTTTCGACCAAGAATGACCGATTTTCGACAAATTTTCAGCCAAAAGTTTCTTTAAGATTTTGAGGCGGTTGTTAAGTTTTTCGGCTGTTTTTCACTTCACAATTTCTCCAACTTCTAACTTCTAACTTCTCATTTTACCGTTATTTACAGATATGTCGATGAGAAGGACCGTGAACATCTACTCGAATTGACCGTCAAATCTATCGATGGCATCGATCTTTCCAAGCAGGATAGCGAGACGTTTTCGGTATGGGCTTTTTTCCACCCTACTTTTATTATTCTTAGATCGAAATCGGACAGTTCATCCCCAACTCGGCCGTCATCTTCGACAAGGAAGAGGGCTCGACGATCAGCCTCATTGGAAAAAGCAAGGGGTAAGAAGTGTCTTTGCATCATTCACGAACCACCATTTTTTTTAGTAAATCCGCTTACCGGTCGATCATCAGCCCCGACTGGGACTTCCAGAAGTTGGGCGTCGGCGGCGTGGACAAGCAGTTCTCGGCCATCTTCCGTCGTGCATTCACCAGTCGATTGTATCCGCCGGAGTTTGCCGAGCAGCTCGGTATTGCAAAATTTACGGCTACAAGCTCTTGTTCATTTTGAGGGCTAAAACACGTGCGCGGCATCTTGCTCTACGGGCCGCCCGGAACCGGAAAAACGCTGATTGCCCGTCAGATTGGAAAGATGTTGAACTCGCGCGAGCCGAAGATTGTTAATGGCCCGCAGATTCTGGATAAGGTACGCCTTTCACAATCTTTGGTATTGCAGGAGATTTCGAATTTTTAGAAAACTAACACCGATGTTTCTAAACTTGGTTTTGACTATTGCAAAAAACTAGGGTTCGATCAAAAATGTCCGGTTTTCGTTATTATAAAATCTCGAATCTTTTACCCAAATCACGATTTTTTTACCGGTATCTAAAGTTTTCTAAATAAAACTGTTCCAGCTTGAATTATAGCTAAATCTTAAAAAAGAGTAACCGAATACCGCTCATTACAGTACGTCGGAGAGTCCGAGGCCAACATCCGCAAGCTGTTCGCCGACGCCGAGGAGGAGTCGAAGAAAGCCGGCGCCAACTCCGGGCTACACATCATCATCTTTGACGAGATTGACGCGATTTGCAAGCAGCGTGGATCAATGGTGACCTTTTTCCCAATTTTTTTGCAATGTTTAACTTCAGGCCGGTTCTTCTTCAGTCCATGACACTGTCGTCAACCAGTTGCTGTCAAAGATGGACGGTGTTGATCAGCTGAACAATATTCTTGTGATTGGTAAGGATATACCTAGTCTATAAATTAAATTTCCTATTTAGGTATGACAAATCGAAGGGATATGATTGACGAGGCGTTGCTACGCCCTGGCCGTCTCGAAGTCGGCGTCGAGATTGGGCTCCCCGACGAGACGGGTCGTTCCCAAATCTTGCGCATTCACACCGCCCGCATGAGGTTCATTTCCCATTCAGAAACAAGTGTAAAATAATTTAGAGAATTCGACAAGCTCGACAAGGACGTCGATATCGATGACCTGGCCAAGAAGACGAAAAATTTCTCGGGCGCCGAAATCGAGGGACTTGTGCGCGCGGCCCAAAGTATCGCCATGAATCGCCATGTGAAGACGGCGGAAAAGGTGGCTGGAAAGTCTTAATTTATTCATTTTTTTCTAAGGTGACGCTCGATACAGAGGCCGTCGAGAAGCTGAAGGTGAACATGGCCGATTTCGAGCTGGCCTTGGAGAATGATATCAAGCCGGTAAAGCTCCGGAATTACTTTATGGAAGTAGAACGAGAAGTGAAAGCAGCGAAATTTAATAATGAAAATTGTTTGTTCAAAATTCCGGCAGGAAAGCGTCGATTTGATATTTACCTGACTTGTAGTTTAGTTTTTTTGCTCGATATTTTGTTCGCCACCATTAGGGGGAAAATTGTTTTGACGATTTTTTTCAGGCTTTTGGAAGATCAGAGGAGACTGTGCAAAAGTTCCTACGTCGCGGCTATATCCCATGGTGTCAAGAAGTCGAACAAATCATCCACAACGGCCAGCTGCTTGTCGAAGTATCCGCTCTGTCAAAACACAAACTTTAATTATCTAGGCAACACGCGAACCGGAAAGCATCGGATTCGTCACCTGCTTGTTGTCAGGTATCACACAATTTTCCAGTGTCGAATTTCACAATTTTTTAGGGGCTTCTGGTTCCGGGAAATCCTGTATCGCGGCCAGAATCTCCAAGGAATCCGAGTTTCCGTTTATTAAGGTGGGTTTTCGAACTGTGCTCTGAAAAAATTCTTCAGGTGGTCTCCCCAGCGACGATGGTCGGCTTCTCAGAGATGGCGAAATGCCAGGCACTGCACAGGGCTTTCTCGGATGCGATCAAGTCTCCGCTTTCCATCCTCTTCCTCGACGATATCGAGTCGCTTCTCGGTGAGCATCAAATTCGATTCCGCATTTAACCCGTTTTTTTTCAGATTACACACCGCTTGGACCTCGTTTCTCGAACCTCGTGCTGCAAGCGCTGCGTGTGCTGTTGCGCGACCCTGTCCCCGAGGGCCATCGGCTTCTCGTATTGGCCACAACATCGGAGCGCGAATTCCTCGAGCACGCTGGCTTGCTGAAATTCTTTGGTAGGTTTTTGATCGACGGAGTTCCGATAAATAAAGAGGCGTAAAAAAGGGAAAATTGTTCGTTTTTTTACATTTCCCCCCGCGTGGCGGGGGTTCAGCGCTGGTTTTCCATACATTTTTGACCCAAATTCATCAAATTTTACAATTTTCAAGATTTTTTACTTATAAACAGCTTATCGTACTATTAAAATATATTTTTCAGACCACCAAATCCACGTGCCAATGCTGTCGGAGCCTCGTCATGTGATCGCTGTGATGCAGTCCTCCAATGTTTTCACCGCCGCTGAGCTGCAGACGGCCGATAAACAGCTGCGAGAGCTGAAACAAAGGTATAGGCAGCGTTTTTAGAGATTTTCGCCATTTTCCCCGTTCTTTGCTCTTCCTAAACGCAAAAAACTTTGCAAAGTTTACTTAAAGGGATAGTGAGGGCCCACGTAGACCAGCCAAAAACCGGTGACATGTCTGCGCTCTCCCCCCTGGGCGCCCTCTCTCGCCCTCTCTGACCCAATTGGCTGCCTGCCAATTATAGATGAGCCCTGATCCACGTGGGCCCTCCTTATCCCAATAAACGATCCAAAAGTATCGGTTTTACGCATGAAAGTGCAATTTTTTAGGCTTTAAATGGAAACAATTATCAATATGGCGTTTAGAGCCCAAATCCACATCGGTGTAAAGCGTGTCCTCGGACTGATCGACTTTGTCCGCCGCTCCGACGGTGACCGCGCCGCTCTTCTCGTCTCACAGATCGAAGCCATGGGAATGGGCATTGAATAGTCTAGTCCGAAGCTTACTTTAATTCATTTAATTTCTCCCTTTTTGTCATAATACTAGTTAATTTTAAAATGTGAAAAAGTTTCCCTAACTTTTATCACGTTCCATTTCCACAACATTCCAGTGTTCTGTGCATATATGTATCTCTGCGTAGTTCTTTTACCGTCTGTAGAAAGCTGAAACTTTTAAGAAATAAATAATTTATTGCGCGCATTGCGTCTAGCTGATTCCGGATGTGACATTTGTAGCTTTGTAGTGCAGATCGATCGGCTTTTTGTTGTCGTAAAGTGTTGGCGCCTGGAAATCGTTGTTTTAGCTATTTTCTTCTTTTGTAGTTTGCAGTTATTTTATTCTATTTTTTAGTTTACCTGTAATAGGATGTAGATTGTCCCCACAAAACATGCGATCGCAAATATCAACAGGAATAACCGGTCGAGCACCATCGCAACATACTTCCAGTCCTCGTCGATCTATTTTTTTTTGGTATATTCGGTTCTTCCATTTTTGACGAAAATCGAGATTTTCCTATTTTTACCAAAACTGTATAAGGTTTTTTGCGTTTAATAATAGCGAAAAGCTGCTTAGAAGACCTCTCTATTTATATTAGAAAACCAGCGCCCAAAACCCGCTTCGCGGTCCTTGCATCATAAATTTGACTTCCCGGGTACTCTGGAAAATCATGAGAACATCAGGTTCCAGAGAGACACGCCAAAATTATATAAAGTAGGATATTTGTTTAGATGAGAATATCAGCCGGGCCAGAAATGGGCAAAAGCGGATGTTCTCGATGCCGGTTATTGTTCCAGAAACTATCAGTCTATTCAATGACATCACATTACAAAAACGGGATTATAACAAAAGAATATTTATCTTATTTACCTTATCATCGCGGTCCTTCTTCTTCAGCAGTTCGGCGATAAAGCATATATTTTCGAAGGCTTTCACTACCTGAAACTCTTCCGATGGGATGTAGTTTTTCGAAAACTACCTGCGGCGAGAAATAGAGCTTTTGAATGCGTTCGTCAATCGCTGCATTCGCCAGCGCTCGGCCGAAGCCCTAGAGAAATGGGTACTTTAGCATTTCCGGGGGCGGGGTTCCGATATCTTTTATAAATCGCTATATGTCTATTAGCATAACTATAAGCATTTGTTTTTGGCCTACTTTAGCTGTTCAAACTTTGTATAAAACTTGGTAAATGTCTTAAAATTTGAGATTATGATCGAAAAATCGATACTTTTTCTTTTTTTTTGTAATCAAAGTTTGTAGTTTTTACGTTTAGGAATAAAATCAATTCTCAATTGAGATTTGAATGCTTACGGTATTCTCTTTGACCCGGTGCTCGTGGTAGTTGAGCGCGATTTTCCCCTCAAGTGTTGTAGGGCCTAGAAAAACACTTTCAATTAGAAAATCGACCACCCACCCGCGGCCAGCATTTTCGGGTTGACCTTCTTGAAGTTCTCCTCGGCCTCGGTCAGGGGGCGACGCATGAAGAGGAGCTGAAAACGGTTAGATGTCGATAATTAGCTGCAAACCTTCGGCAGCCAATTCAAGAACACCTTCTTCACCCAGTTAGGCATTATATGGGTGGTCGGGGTCCGGAAATGGAGATTTAGGGCTAAAAAGTGAGATCCTTCAGAACTATTCCGAAAAGGTACAAATGACGGTGACGACAACGGAGAGCGTGACCATCACCATCGTGAATAACAGATATTTGCCGATTAGTGGCAGTGTGGTAGAGGTGGCTGGGATGATTTCGGTCTGAATAAGATCGATATTTTCGGTTCGTTCGCATTACCGGGGTGGGGGGGGTATTTTTCTACACGTCCAGAAATGCCTACTAACGTGATAGAAAGTGTTTAATAGTGTCTTTGGTGAAATTTAGCGGTTTCAAGTGAAACACATCGTAAAAATTTCTAAAACCTTTATAATTGGTCAAGAATTTGCCGTTTTAGGGTAAAAATAGTAGCTGATGGTTCGATTTTTTATTACTCAAAACAGTGTTAAAAAGTGTATCCAAATATCTAATACGTACAATTGCTAGGACAAAAAAGACGAAAAAACCTGCCAGCAGCAAAAAGAAGATAGTGAGCGCGACGAGGATCGAGATGCAGAGCGTCACCTAAAAATAGCGTCGCCAAGCTTTTGTATAAATCAATTAAATACCAGCCGCTTACAGCCGCTTCGCGACTGTAATCGGCTGGCCTTCGGGCTACCCTCCATATTCTACACTACCACCTACGTCGATCGCTTCAGATACCTCCTATAGCCAACCCCCTTAGATACCTAAACGACCCCATGGCTAAAATCCCCTTCAAAAACTACCTAAATACCTTCCTAATGGCTGCAGATACTCCCGATGGCCGAAATCCCCTTCAAAAACTACCTAAATACCTTCCTAATGGCTGCAGATACTCCCGATGGCCGAAATCCCCTTCAAAAACTACCTAAATACCTTCCTAATGGCTGCAGATACTCCCGATGGCCGAAATCCCCTTCAAAAACTACCTAAATACCTTCCTAATGGCTGCAGATACTCCCGATGGCCGAAATCCCCTTCAAAACTACCTAAATACCTTCCTAATGGCTGCAGATACTCCCGATGGCCGAAATCCCCTTCAAAAACTACCTAAATACCTTCCTGATGGCTTCAGATACCCCCCATAGCTGAAATCCCCATCAAAAACTACTTAAATACCTTCCGGAAGGCTTTAGATACTTAAAATGATTTAAATAATGAATTAACATAAATAAAAAGTATTAAAAAGAATTAAAATAACTGAAAAAAGCGATCTGGGGGACGGAAGGCCCTGGGGAAGAGAGGCGAAGGGAAAGGGGGCGTGGCCTGCCGGGGAGAGGGCCCCCACTCGTTTTATTAAGGCGCCACTTTCAAAGTTAATTATTTTTATTTAAACGAAAACTTTTTTATAATGTTTTGATCATTTAAGGGGTTTCTGACCATGCTCTATCCGAATCCGAAGAAAGCTAAGCTCTGGCTCCTTTCCCCTTCGAGTTATAGTTGGCTTCAGACAGACGGACACCACAACAAAATTATTATAGTTGATATAAGAATCTACTTAATATAATAGCATAGGACATAATAGTAGTATATAATAGAATATAAATATAATTCTCCACCTTTTCTCCAGAGTCTGAGGGCAAATAGAACACGAGAATCGTCAGAAAAGAGATGCCAACACACGGGAAAACCAGGTTAACCGTGTAGAAAAGCGGCTTTCTGCGCAGTTCGAGGTAATACTAAATATATATCCTATAAGGCCTCTAGTTTTGACATACGATAATGTCCATATAGGCGGATCCCGGGCAGCAGCTAGGGTAATTCTTGCTTCTCCTTTTTGCCACTCGAGACATGATATCCCATTCGACGGATGGGTAATAGTCGGACAAATCTAAAGACAAGAAAATAGTGCTTTTGAAAGGAATAAAAACCGATGCCATCTACGGCGATCGTCACGTTATCCATTTCTCCCTGTTCGTTCTGTTCGGTCACGTGGCTGACGTTGTGTTCTCAAAAGCGACAAATTTTTCCTTACAAGTTTCTGCAAGTCTTTCTAAACGGTTTTTACCATTCATAAACATAGTATATATGAAAATACACATATACTGTAGAAAAAAACACATAAAAAATATTTTTTTCGACCATCAGTTTTCTGACTTGAAATATAGTTGCATTTTACTAAAACATTCTTACATGGTGTAAAAATATCTATTTTGGGACCAAAAGGTTCTTAGGTAATTTTAAGAGGTTTCCAACTTGTTTTTCCATTGTAAAGCCAGTAAATTTTACCAAAAGCTATATTGAAAGAATAGCTTACAAACTATTATTACAAAGTGTAAAAATATTTCTTTCGACCAAAAGGCCCATTTTTAATTTTTTTCAACCAACCCAACAAGTCGAGCTTCAATAAATTGTCCGCGTACGTCCACGAGCCGAATTTCAGATGGCACTCCTGCTGATCGAAGGGAAACCTAAAAATTGAAAAAATCGCAAAGAAAACAACCATTGGACGTCAATCTGGCACAACGACTTGAAGATGGCCGGCGGTTCCCAGGTGACCTCGCCCGAATAGTGCAGCGTGGCCTTCGTCGAGATGGTGATGTTGTAGTAGCTCTCCGCGCTGAAGAAACCAGTCAATAAAGAAGATTCACGCTTCAAACTTATTGTAGAGGACGATATCGGGCACCCAGATCATTTCATAAGGAACGTAGAGCACCGAGACGCCGCCGTAATTCTTCGGATCCCACGACAGTTTCTTGTCCATCCATACCTGAAAAACAAAGAGGTGAAACTGATGAGGTGAAACTGATATAAACTAAGCATGTTTTAGTGCTTTTGCATTACCAGGCGGGGGAATTACATTTAAAATTTTAAAAAAATTTAATGAAAAAATTAAATCAAAAATATCGTTGGAAAATCAGTTATTCAGGGAAACAGTCGAAAAATGTAAATAAACGAAGAGTACGAACCTGCTTCAGCCAAACACTGCACGTCATCACCTGGTCCAGCTCGGCCTAAATTTTTGGCAATATACATTTTTTTCTTTAAATTAGAAGGACCCACCACATCGATAATCTGCGATAACCGCAGCTTTAATTTAATCGTCGTCGGCTCTTTCGGGTTCATGGCCGGCCGTCGATGTCTAGGTGGAAGGATTAGCATTTTTTTTACCCAGTGCTAGCGAAATTTTACGTTATTAATTTCTCGAAAATTTGGAAGAGTTCTCACCTGTTGTAATGCACCATCAGATCGTCGTACAATCGTTTCGCGTCTTCATTTGCCGCAGCCAACGGAATAAAGGATAGGAAAATAAATAAGTACAAACCCGTCCGCATTGTTCTATTTAAAAAAATAGCGTTTATGACCGAGTTTTTTTAAACGAAAGAAAAAAGAAGAAAGAAGAAGTTGATTCGAAAGCTCTCCCAAAACCAGACCTATACGCCCAATAAGAAATCCACATCAAAAGAAAGGAACCTAATGCTTTTGCGGGAAGAATCGATACACTATGCAGCCGAGGGAGGGCCCCGGGGAGTGGGACTCAGTGCCCCTAAAGCTTCTCCCTTCCTTCGGCTCTTCCTCAGTGCCACGCTTTCAAATCCCAGCCCCTAAGACAGCCGCAAAGAGAAGCAAAAGAACCGCCACCCACACCTCTGCCTCCCCTGGGGCACCCTGTCCCAAGCCGTCGAAATTTGGAAAATAGTGACAATCATGCGCTCGAAATTGGGAAATACCTTCTTGAATTGATAAGGAAAAACATCAGAAAAAGTTGCAAAATTATGGTGATACCAGCGCCCAAAACCCGCTTCGCGGGCCTTGGGCGCTGGAATACGGTCTTTGCATGAAAAGTTTGACTTTCTGATAGCTGGGGTCCTGCGGACCCCTTCACCCTCCGACCACACGCGCGAGTGCAACTGGCAAGAATGAGGAAATTTGTATTTTTTCACGTTATGCAAATTAGCCCTCAGGTACCCCCAAAAATGAATAAAACCGGCTTTAACTTTGTAAACTTGTATTTTATCGAAATTCTGAGAACGCCATCGGAAACAGAAGGGTCGAATCCCCCAAGTGACGAAGAATCAGAGCGTTTTATGCACAGGAAGGCCCTTAAATCGGGCCTCAAAAGTGACATCCACACACACACACAGTTACACGCCAAAATTATATAAGGTAGGATTCTCGAATCGGCGTAGGCTTAGGTTTTTTATGTTTTAAAGGGACGCACAAGGCTTGGCTATGGATCTTTTCGCTGCCAAAGCCTAAGCCTATGCCCAAGCCCAAGCACAAGCCTCAGCCAAGCCTAAGCCTAAGCCAAGCCGAGCCAAGCCAAGTCAAGCCAAGCCTAAACCTAAGCATACGCAATCTATCAGCGTACGGGCGAAGTAACTGGACTCTTCTAATTCTAAAACTGACAACCGACAATAAAAATACCCTTTTCAGACTTCAGGTTTTTTCAGACTCTCAAAATACCGGCGCCGAAGCTGTAGCCTCGAAAGATTCCTCTCGGTTCTTCTGCAAGCATCCAGCGGTACAGCCGATGTCCTGAAAAAAACTTACGTCGGGTGATGCTCGAATTTGGGGCTGAAAATACTCCAACACGGATATTTGCATTGATAAATACAAGCCATTTTAGTTTTTCTGAGAAACCAGATGGTTACAGTCGCTTCGCGACTGCAACCATCTGGCTTTCGGGCTACCCTAGATGTCCTACTCCACCACATCTTTCCCTACCTCCTTCAACCCCCTGAGAAACGAAATCCCCCTAAAAAACTACTTCGATACCTTCCGGAGGGCTTCATATACCCCCCCATAGCTGAAATCCCCGTCAAAAACTACCTAAATACCTTCCCGATGGTTTAAGATACCTCCCCTAGCCAAAATCCCCTTAAAAAACAAAAATAACGACCGACCGGACGGAATGTGAGAAAAAAAAGAAATGAAATCCTCCGTGAAAATTTTCATCCACGAAACGCGCGCGACCTGGCTCACTATGTCCAAAATCACCCCAACCTCCGTCCCCCACCCCTTTTACTAAGGAAAAAACTTTCAAAGTTAATTTTAATAATTTAAACTAAAAGTTTTTCCTAATTTTTTTTATCAGTTTGGGGGTTTCTGACCACGCTCTATCCAAATCCGAAGAGAGCTAAGCTCTAGCTCCTTTCCCCTTCGAGTTGAATTCGGCTTCATACGGACACACAGAGACCACAACAAAATTATTATAGTTGATTGGGACCATGAATTTTGCGCAACTCGGGGAAAACGAATTTTGCGCAACACGCGAATTTTGAGCAACTCCCACAAAACGAATTTTGCGCAACTTTTGGTGAAAAAATATAAAAGGCTTACAAATATGGCTTTTTCATTGCTTTTCGTTGCCGATAAAATAAATGAAGGAATGTAAGAGCTAATTGAAGCAAATTTTCAGTTCAGGCGTGCCGAATAACGGTCATTTCGTGAATTTTGGCCTGGCCGCCGGTTTTTGCTAAAATCGTTGATAACAGGAAGTTTCATTTTCAGTCAAGCGTTTTCTATTAAAATAAAATAATGTATTCCATACTTAATGTAAGAAAAATGTAAAGTAGGTTCGAAATCGCTTTTTAGACGATAATCGACTAGCGTGACATATAGTGTTCGACGAGGTAATGGGGAATATGCCGCGGCAGTGTAGTTTTCTTGATCAAGAACGGCCTTAGAACAACTGTTGAGGCGTTCTAATAGTTCAAGTTCACAGAAAACAGGTTCAAATCACGAAAACCAGCGGCCATGCCAAAATCCACGAGATAACCATTATTCAACACGCTAGTGTCGGAAATTTTCTTCGATTAGCTCTTACATTCCTTTATTTATTGTATCGGCAGCGAAAAGCAATGAAAAAACCATATTTGTAAGCCTTTTATATTTTTTTCACCAAAAGTTGCGCAAAATTCGTTTTGTGGGAGTTGCTCAAAATTCGTTTTCCCCGAGTTGCGCAAAATTCGTTGCGCAAAATTCATGGCCCCGAGAAATTACGAAAGGAAATAAAAATCCATATGCTCCAATTTACGGAACCCGTACGTAGACGTAGGTGAAGCGAGACTTTTCCAACTCTTCGAATTTTTTCTCTTTTGGCGTCTCATTGCTTCTTTTTACGTCTCATTGCATTGGAATAGTTTTTTTTTTGATCGGCCCAGCTGATTCTATTCGCTATATGTAGTTGTCTCGCCTGTTGTATTCACTTACCAAATCTGTTATTGGTAGGACTTCAGTTTGTCCCCCACAGATCCTCGACAAAAGTTCTGTTGATGTGTCTTGTATCTAAAAGGCTCGCCTTGGTCGAAAAACTAGGGAACAGTGATTTTATTACGTCAGCAATGGCTGTAACTTTTTTACAAGATCTTAGATTTGAAAAGATTAAGTACAAACTTCAATTCACTCGCAACGCAATTAGGTCTACTGTACGCCTTTTTTCGTCTCAAAACTAATGCGTCCGTACTACAGTCCAGGGGATACATTTTGGGGACCATGAATTTTCAGCAACGAATTTTGCGCAACGAATTTTCGGCAATCGAGAGATAGGGGAAACGGAGAGACGCAGGCGTAGTTTGTAGTTGCCGAAAATTCGTTGCCAAAAATTCATGGTCCTACATTTTGGCATACGTGACCGTTTTTTCAGGTCCATCGAATCGAATTTGAACTTTTATCCATTGCGATCTAGTAGTCTTTTCCTTTACCCCCCAACAATTCACCTCCGTTGATTCTTTCGATTCACGAATTCCCGAGATCTCAATCCTAACTTTTAGATGTCAGGTGGGACCGTGATGGAGCATATGGCTGCAGGTGACGGTAAGCCTTGCCCCAGCTTTAAAATTTTCTGCTTAGTGAGCAAGCTCTTCGGTCAAATCGACGACTCTGAAGATGACATCAAACGGAAAGAGGACTCCATCATGGAGCTAGGCAGCCAATTGGCGGCGAACAAGCAGACACACGAGCTTCGGACGGTCGGTTTTTGGTTGTGAATCTAATGAGCGTGTGTTTTTCAGATGATCGAGAATACGCATCCGTTCCTTCTAACGCTCGGCAAGGCGAAGGCAGCCAAGCTCGTGCGTGACCTTCTCGATTTGTGCCTGATGATCGAAGGGCAGGATGGCGACATTAAGGTTATTGTTAATTCTCACTTAGTAATGCAAGATCGCAAATTTGTAGGGCTCGGCCTCGATTATTCGGGTATTTATCTGCATTTATATTTATGGGTTCTTTCGCCTTCGTTGGGGGGTCAACTTTTTTCTAAGGATCTAATTTTCTGATGGGAATCGAGGACGTGTTTCTAAACTATTTTTTACTGTTCCTAAACGGAAGACTTCACAAACTGATTACAAATAAAAAAAAAAGGTTTTTTGACCAAAATTTCAACTAAAGGTTTCTTCAAAGTTTTTTTATTTTTCCATTTAAAATATGGTCAAACCAGCCGCTTCCAGCGGCGTCGCGGCTGCAAGCGGCTAGATTTCGGGCTACCTCTGCCCTCCCTCCCCCTCGCCGAAACGCGCGCCACCTGGCTCACTATGTTCAAAATCACCCCAACCTCCGTCCCCACCCCTTTTACTAAGGAGAAAACTTTCAAAGTTAATTTTAATAATTTAAACAAAAACTTTTTCGTATTTTTTTTATCAGTTTGGGGGTTTCTGACCACGCTCTATCCGAATCCGAAGAGACCTAAGCTCTAGCTCATTTCCCCTTCGAGTTGAATCCGGGACATGACGGACAGACGGACACCACAGCAAAAGTATTATAGTTGATTGTTCTGAAAACTTTAAAACACTTCCTATAACACTACTAGACATTTCTGGGCCGACAGGAAAAATGTTGCCCCCCCCCCGCGATAATTCAAAGAACCTTTTTTTAGGTCGAGCTCTGCAAGGAGTGCATCCTCTGGGCCGAGCAGCAAAATCGCATCTTCCTGCGCCAGACGCTGCAAGCCAGACTGATTCGCCTGTACAACGACCTGCACCGTTACAATTTGGCTTTGTTGCTCGGTGAGCGAGCTGTGTGAATTATTTGTTTATTATTACGTATAGCAAACGAGCTGGTGCGCGAGCTGAAGAAGGTCGACGACAAGGACTTGTTGATTGAAGTCGAACTGGAGGAAAGCAAGGCGTTCTACCACCTCGGAAATCTTGGCCGAGCCCGAACTTCGTTGACCGGGGCGAGAACTACGGCTAATGCCGTCTACGTGCGGCCTCAGATGCAGGTCGTAGAATGCATTTTTTTGGATTTTCGCCTAATAAAGTCACTTTTGGAAAAATTGTATATCTCTTTTTAGGCGGCTCTCGACGTACAGGCTGGTATCGTGCACGCGGCTGAGAAGCGTGACTTCAAGACGGCATACTCTTATTTCTACGAAGCCTTCGAAGCATACGATTCGACCAAACAGGAAAAGCTGGCTCTCCAGGCGCTGAAGTATATGCTACTATGCAAGGTATAAATTGCCCTATCATAATCATAGCTTATTTTCAGGTGATGCTTGACCTTCCGGAAGAGGCGATCTCGCTTATCCAAGGGAAAGTGGCCCGAAACTACACGAATTCCGAAGCTGTACAAGCGATGAAGGCGATTGCTGTAGCCTCGAAGGAGAGATCTCTCAAGGACTTCAACGCTACTTTTGGTCGATACGGGTTGAGTTTTTGATGCTTAACTATTGAAATGATAGTTTTAAAAATAAGTTCCCTTACATTATCGGGGTCGGGAATGACAGCTTTTTTCTAACAATCCAATTTTTTCTAATATAAATAGTGAACTTTTTTATTCCTAAGCGTAAACATTACAAATTTGCATTGAAAAACATAAAAAGTATAGGTTTCTCGACTGAAAATGGCGGATTTTCAACTGACATTTTTATAAGTTTTTTTTGTTGTTTTTCCACTTGAAATATTTTACAGTTCAAGAAAAACGCTGCTATAATACTTATTATGACGTCACTAGACATTTCTTGACTTCTAGGAAAAAAATTGGTCCCCCTATATTGCGAAGGCACGCAAAAATACAGCCTCGGCTTGGTTGTAGCCAAAAAAAATATTATTCATCCTTTTGCTTTTAGAGTCGAGCTTCAAATGGACCCGGTGATCAAGAAGCATTTCTACGAGCTATCGGAGCGGATGCTGCAAAAGGAGCTGTCCCGCCTCGTCGAGCCCTACACCTGCGTTCAAATCAGCTACATTGCCAGGGCCATCGATTTGGATCGTTCCATTGTAAGCCAGCGTTTGAAATAAAATTAATTAATTTTGAGGTGGAGCGAAAGCTGGCCCAAATGATCCTCGACCACAAATTCCACGGTTCGCTGCACCAGCTTGAGGGCGTCGTCATCGCGCACGAGGCTGAGAAGCAGGATGTTACGTGCGTTAGATCCTTACTTGTTTGAATTGGGCTTTAGGTATAAAACCTCTGTCGAGGCGATCCACGCCTTTGGTGATGTTCTGGATGCGCTCTACGCCCGTGCCAACACTCTCAACTGAAATCTGATCAATCCGCCTTCCAATTTTTTCGCGTGCAAGTTCTGATCCTGTTTTGTTCATCAATAAATATTTTCTGTGGTTAAAAGGGTTTTAAATATATGATTACAGGTATTTCAAGACGTTGAATGACTCGTGTAGCATAAGGGGAAGTACAGCACTGTACGGAATTACAGGGCGAGAGACCCTTGTCGCACTTTCTTATCGGGGCCCTTTGTTAGCGCTTGGGATCTCTGGCCCACATGATCGGAGGCATCCAAATCGACGTCGTTTTCGGGGATGCGGCTCCGGAAAGCCTCGAGCTTCTCCCAGTATCCGTTACTAATTATGACTTTTTCAAATCGGAACTTCTCTGCTTATTCGGGGACTTTGAGCGGATAGAATGTGAGTTTGCGAGTTGAATGCGTATTTCCGGGTAGATGAAGACGAAGATGGCGACCGGATGGCGATACGCGGCGATGAGCATCTACGGGCGTTTCTGAAAGAGACGCGCCCGTTGCGGATATATCTGGGTTTGTTTTTGGCTTTATTTGGAGCTTCACTTTTAGCAAAGAGACAAGGGAATAGCCTCGAGGATTTGCCAATGATACTTCCGGGAGAGCTGCGGAATATGGGTGTGCTGTCGCACGGGCAATTCGGGACGGTGTATAAGTCAGAAGCTGTCGCCATATTTCCACTTTATAATTCCTTAGGTCCCTATTCCTGCGCCGTGACCTGATCGTCGCTGTTAAATGCGTGAATCTGCGTGACGACGGCGACGGGCACGAGGATCTGCTGCGTGAACTGCACGTCCTCGCCAAGGTCGAGCTTTAGATGGTCATTTCGTTAATATCGCGGTTATTTCAGTGCTGCCGCTCCGAATATATTGTCGAGCTGATCGGGGCTATGATTACTGGGAATGTGCTGTCGATTGTGTTGGAGATGATGGATTGTGGATCGGTGGCCGGTAGGTATTTTTTAGCGGACTATGTAATATAACTAACAGTTGTAAGGTATATTTTGATTTACAGCTTATCTTCCCCTGCCACCCCCGATTCTGCCACACGTCTGCAGGGCCATTTTGGAGGGGGTCGGGTTCCTCGCTTCGCAAAATATCATGCATCGAGGTGGGTTTTGAGCGCGTAAAATCGAGACGTGCGTAAGCGCGTTTCCGTGGACTGTTCCATTTATAAAGTGAGTTGATTAATTTATTAAACCTTTATGTTTTGTCACAATAAATATGTATTTCAGATATTAAACCAGAGAACTGCGTGGCAAGGACGAGCGGCCACGTAAAGCTGACCGATTTTGGGGTGTCAAAGGTGGGTTGGCTAGCCGAAAAGAGCTTGGTTTTCATTGGTGCTTTTGCATTATCGGGGGGGGGGGGTGGGGTTTGCATTTTTCTTTAATACATAATTTTTCTGATATAGGCAGAGGAAGTATTTCTGAAACGTTGGTGACGATTCCTGAAGGCCTTAGGGCAAAAATACTACAATTTTTTATCTAAAAAACATAAACGATAGATTTTAACCAAACCAGGGTTGAAAAGCCGCTTCGCGACTTTTCAACCCTGACCCCCGTCTCACCCCCATGCTTCACCACTTGGCATAAACAATTGAATCCCTGTGCAAGAAAAATGGAAAGCGCATCCGCTCCCCGTTATAGGCTTCCCCACTTCCGGTGCATGCTAATTGATTCCTAACAAAGAGCCCGATCGAGATTTTCACAAAAACTTAATTTTAATATCGAAAACAGCTGATTTTTTTTAAAATCTCATATGCGTGCAGTCGTGTCATGACCATTACGCACCTAATGACGTATCATACAAACCCTTAACTTCCTCCCCTATTGAGATCGCTTTTACAAAAATTTTTGTAAAAGCCTAAGCCTAAGCAAAACAGCCGCTTATAAGCCAAACTATTGAACACTTTTGCAGTTAATGGAAGGCTCGGTGGCGGACAGCATTGTCGGCACAAGCGCGTACATGGCCCCCGAGCGGATCCATGGCGGCGAATACAAGTCGGAAACCACCGCTATCATCCAGTGACTCATTTCAGGATTGAGTCCGAGATCTGGAGCATGGGGTTGACGTTTCTGGAATTTGCCACCGGCCGCCATCCATTCCTGCGCCCAGGGGAAGAAGAAGCCCACGGAGTTCACGGCATTATCCAGAGGGCGTTGAACCAGGATTGTGTCATCGAAGCGTCGGCCGTTGCCCAATACGGCGTCGATTTCCGGGAGTTGATGCTTCGCTGGTACGTATGAATACTGAAACATAAATGGCTTAAAAGAAGCTTAAAGCTCGAAGCTTAAATCAAAAAAATTAGTTTCGTGAGCAAAACGAAGAAATTTCAGCGTGCAGCGCGTCGCCGAAAAGCGGATCACCCTGGAGCAGATGACGCAGAGCGCCTATATGACTTCCGCCTGGCCGATAAGACGCGACATTTTGAGCAATTTTTTTAGCAGTGCAAAAAAGAATTGATAAGCTACGCATTATTGACGGCATCAAATTAAAGGGTGAAATTTGAAGCAATGCTCGATCGATCGGCCCAAGAACAAGGCTGTTTCTGGGCTAGTGTTGCTCGAATCTTATACACTTACACGTTAGGAAACGGAACTTGAGACTGCAAAAAACTTATTTGAAATTCGCCGGAAACATTTTCACGGCCTCTGCGACTTTTTATTTTGTAGTTTTTGTAGTCTAAGTGCCTTTTTTCTCGAACTAGAATGTAAAGTTAGTATTAGGCGCGGAAAACTAGCACTGCTTCGGTTTTGCCACTGATAATTCTAGGTTACGTGCCTGGAAATGAGCAACCGGGGTTAGGTCGACTCGAAGGTCTTCTCCGCGTATCTCGTGCTGATCCTATCGCATTTCGTTCATTAACGGACTCTCGCCCTCCCCATTGACCCATAGAGGGCCAAGAGGGCCAAGAAGGCCAAGAGGACCCTTGGCCAAACACCGTTACTTCCTACGAGAGCTATCGCTCCCATATGGGTACAGCCCGCCAATACAAATATTTCATTTTTGGCATTGTCTGTACGTTTTTTTGCTTTTTTGTAGTTTTCAGTTTTGTGCTGAGTCTCGAAAAAAGGAAAACTATCTAAATATTTTTTTAGTCGAGGGTTTAGTGAAAAATTGGCCACTTTGGTCGATAAATCGCTATTTTTCTTGGTTTTTTTTAATATACTTTGTAAAGCTTTTACGTTTAGGAATATTAAAAACAGTTTAGAAACGCTTGCGCTATTTAGATTTAAAAATTAGAACCTACGAAAAAAAATGCGGTTTGGCTTTGGACTACCTTGGCCAAAAATAGTTTTCAAACGAAGGTCGACCGGCTGCACCTCTATGCCATTGCTTGGATTAACAGATCTGGTGAAACCAGCCGACGCTGGGGTCATGCGCGTCTCCTCGAGTGTTGTGTATCGCAGCCCCATCCACCCTTGCCTCGTATATTCAGATTAATCCGTTTATGGCCTGTGGCCCTCCAGATATGTAGATATGACAGTGAGGTGGACACAGCACCACCACTCATCCATCTGCTTACCCATCCAGTGGCCCTCTTGATTCGGCTGGCTACTCCTGGCTTTTCTTATTTGCAGTGAGTATCGTAGCGTACTGGAAAATTTTTCATTCTTTGAACGTGTAACGTTTGCCTTTTTAGATATAAATAATTCCCAATAATATACAAATATGCGAATTCTTTAACCTGTTGGATTAGATGTATGAAAAGGGCCAAAATATCAAAGTGTTCGTTTCCTAAAAGGTTTTTGCAATTTCGTCGCAATTAAAAAGTACTCAAATCACGATAAAAATAAACTACATCTTTATTCCGGCTTGCTATCGGCGTAAAGTATAGAATAAAACCAGGTTAGCTCCTTCGCGAAAGCCCCCCTCCCCCCGCTAAACGATAAGCTCCAAAATTTGATGCGCACTGGAATCGAGGTGTCAACCCCCTCTGCCGTTTCATCCTCCCACCGCTCCCAAGCTGAAATGGAAAACGTGGCCAACGACAATTCCCCGGGGAGCCCTATCTTGAGGTCCAAATCTCGCGACGAAAATTGGGCATAGAGCGCCCAGCGAGCCTCCTAGAAGCAGGGCACATGTTGTGAACAGATTCTGGATATCGTCTGAACCTCGGACCTGGACGATGTAACTCCGCAGTACGCTACGCTACACAATTAATGTACGGGAGCACGAGCTATTCCGATTTTGCGGATCTCGACCTGGATGACTGCCGGCCGGCGCCACGACGGCGAGCGCCGTTTTGGCGCTCGACGAGGATGGTGGGGTTTATAAGGACGAACATAAGCTTAACCTTGAGCCTAAGCCTCAGCCTCGATAATAAGTATAATCGAACCCTAAAAAAGTTGAAAAGGAACCGTCTGACTGCTAGAACGGCTCGGTGATTAGTGCCGTTAGGGTGTAATGAGTTTCTGGACGTACTAATTATTACCGGCCCGTGTATGGCAAATGGGATGGAGCTAATCGGTTCCGGCGACGACGTTTTTCGCACGAATGTTTCTACTGAAGCCGGGGTTATGCGGCTCCGTCTTAAGCCACTTGGTTTTCGACGTAAGCCTGGGCTTAACGGCGTACTTTTAAATGCTTGACTTTAAAGACCTTCAGTAGACCGTACTTCTAACTATCGAGATTTTGGTCGTCGGGATTTAGATTGTTGAGATTTTTTAGAGTTTCGCATTTTCTAAAATTTTGTTTAGTTTCATTCTAAAAATTGATAATTTCTATTGTTTGTCTCAAGATATATTTTGGTTCGAAATTAGGTTCGTTAGATGGTAAAATTGTTAGTGCGAAATCTGGCCCTTTGTTGGCGGTGTCACATCCATCGTGGATTTATCTCGACCCTCGACCTGGTGCTCCTTTCATCCATCCATCCATTCCCCCTCCTTCGCCCTCATAAATCCCGCCGGACCGTTTTGCATACAAATTAGAGCCCTGTCCTCCACCTCTACGGGGGTTTTGTCAACCACTCTAAAGAAGGAATTCCCACACACACCCACCCAACAATTCCTCTCAACAAACCGTTGATTCGTCCCTGAGGGTCACCACCCAGTAAGGCAGTAGAAACCGGATATGAAATTGCCGGTTTAGTCAAGGAAAAAAGTTTGACGCTAGCTAGCGGTACCCTCCGCTCTGAACTTCATCTTGTCGATTAGGCTTCAACGACCGATAGAGCATTTTTTCCCCGGTGTTTTCAAGTTTTTTTAGCTAAGTTGTTTTAATCAAAACTGGCAGAAACTCGAAAAAACGCCTTTAAGGCTTGAAACGCGCAAGACTTCGCCTTTTAGCCCTAAAAGCAATTTTGGGTGCTTGTGGAATATCAAGGTGACCCAACTTCCCTCTTATAAGTTCCGAAATGTTTAATGACTTCATTGCAAGTATTCTAATAGTGTTTTTAGTTTCATTGAACTATGTTTCAAGTGGGACCATAATGCGATAATCTTGTACAAATCCTTAAAAATTTTTAATTTTAGGCGAAAATCGATATTTTTTGTATTTTTAATGAAAAGTTGTAAAGGTTTTACGTTAGGAATAGTAAAAAACGACGCTAGAAGCACGTTCGCTAATTATTTTAGGAAAATTAGTTGCAAAAATCATGCTCACTTCTGCTGCCAAAAGGCGTTTCAAGCTCCACTTCCCCAATTTTCAGCTGATGTCCTCAAAAGTGTTCCTCTCAATCTCACTAGCCCTCGCCCTCGCCACCATCATCTATCAACGCATTAACATTACACGTCTCACGGTAGGTTTTTCTGTTGAATTCTGACAAAAGGTTACTTTCTAGAATGAGGTGGCGAGCAACACGCGGAATCGACGTTCCATCTACGAATACGGAAATGGAAATGACTTTCGCGACGATTATTTGCCCGTTTATGCCGAAATGACGGTACGTTCCGAGCATGGGCCAAGCTAGCAGCTCTGTCTAATTTAGAAAACGCAGCTGAAGATGCTCTGCGAAAAGCATAGAACGACAATAGGGTTCGACGCTCGGCATACACGCAAAAAGGGGCATCGTGCAGAGGAAAGAACGCGTAAGTTTTTTTTCTGAAAGTTGCTAATAGCGATTCTATCGTATCGCAGCATCTGTGTTATTGCCTTTCACGATTTTCATGTTTTTTTTTGCTGTTTCCGTGACACCGGGGCGAGCAAACCCTTTTAGCAGGAGATCACGGCAAACTTTTAAGTTAGCCGACGCTTGCCCAATCTTTGATACGTCTCAAGGAGCCGTCTCTACATATAACCTAACAAACGATAAAACGGACTGAAATCTCCTCTTTTTGCAGAATGTCAATTGGACGTCTCGGTGACGGCGCCCCGGCTCGTCACCACCCGCCCCCATCCTGTCGGCTCGGCGCTGCGTGATGGGAAATATTGGTCAGTAATTCGAGCAATATGCTAATTATCGTGTAACAATTTGATAAGAAGCTTCAGGTTTGTGTTCGAGTATCACCTCGGCTACTCTCTCCTCGTGTTCCACAACGAATCGGCCCTCGCTGATAGTATGCCCTCAAAAATCAGTCAGTTTCGTTTTGCTTGGCTAGGAACGCATAAAAGTTCACAGCAAAAACATGCGAAACTCGCTGTTTCAGTGACATTACCGTATCCATTCCACGGCACCGACGCCGCCGTCCACAATCGGAGCGTCGTGTACTTGTTTGGCGAATCGTTGATAGCGCACAATCTTGAGACGAAGGCCACTCGCCATCATGCCCTCAACATTTCGCAGGTAGCTGCCGAAAATTCATTGAACCTTGGCCCTTCCAAACCCATCAATATATTTTTTGAGGACCCGCTGTACAGCGGCTCGGTCTCCCGCATCGATGCTGGGGCCGATGAGCACGGATTGTGGGTGGGATATTTAAGTGCATTAAATCTCTTCGAAATAAATCATGAGATATGTAAGAATGCTTTCTCTAGGTGCTCTACCGGGAGCGGGGAGAGAGCGGGCTGACCGCGCTGCGCCTGCACGTCAAGAATCTGAAGGAGATGAGCCGCTGGAGGGTATCGAATTATATAATACTTAAAGAATAGATAAAATGAAAACAGCAATACTCGACCTTTTCGATTATTATTGGTGCTGGACTGTTAACGGGGGGGGGGGGGGCGGGAGAGTCTCTGGCCCATACATTCATAGCAAAAATTGACACCTGAAACTTGAGCATTATGAATTTGGGCATTGAGATTTATGACATTTAGAAAGCGACCCGATTTTTTCTAGGTGGACGTCGACCCGTCAGCATTGTGCAACTCGTTCGTGCGTTGCGGGACATTGTTTAGCGTGCGATGCCCATCAGGGGATACGGTAGAAGTGGCGCCAGTGTTCGATTTCTACCGTAACCGGCCCGTCTCGGGTGGAAAGGTGTTGAAATGGAGCGTGGGTGATATGGGTTCGGCTGGCCTTGGCAGTGCCCAATTTGACCCGCAATCTCGCACCTTGAATCTGTTCGCCGGTGGACGCATCTATTCGGCGCAATTCGGGAATTAATCGGTTACGCCATGCTTTCCTATATTCTCTGTTTCTCAATTGACCTCGCAATAACCCCGTACCAGATACCTCCATGCCGCCCGATCAGTCCAAATTTGATTTCACTTGTTTTTTTTGGTTCTTTTTTTTGCTATGATCTCTGTATAAATGCTGTTTTTCACTTTAATAAAGTGAATAAATCATGCCTGAAACAACATTACAACGTATTATAGTACGCACTGCACCTATATTCCGCTCTTTCCGTTCCGCATTTCCCACTACCTTAATTTTTATTCGGGCGTAAGAATCCCAAACATTCTCATTTCTTATCGGAAAAGTTTAATGTTATTTTTTTGGATTTTGACTACAAGAGCTAAGCCTAAGCCTAAGTCTAAGCTAAGCCTAAGCCTAAAAGCCGAAACCGAAGCCGAAACCTAAGCCTAAGCCTGAGCTTAAGCCGAAGCCGAAGCCTTAGCCTACGCCTAAGCCCAAGCCTAAGGCTGTTATCATAGGAAAAAAATGGAAATTAACGACAATTGCTTGAGCTCTTTTGAAATACTAATGGCAACGTGTCCTTCCGCCTCCTTTTTTGCCAAGGGGACATCCCTCTCCTCATCATAAACTTTCCGGAAGCCCCGGGTCACCCCAGGGTATCGTTAGTTCAAGTACTTTCTCGGGTTGTATCTCTCTTCTCTCTCTCTCTCTTTCTCTCTCTTTCTCTATCACTCTCTTCTCCCTAAAAGTTCGTCGTCACCACTCCCCCCATTCGGGTCGTTATTTCCTCTAGGTTTCCAGATTCGATTAAAATAATAGTGTTGGAGGGTGTTGAGGGCCCTTTTTTCAAAGGGGCAACCTCCAATTTTCGTGGGCTCTCCTCTCGGAAAAGGCGAGAGAATAGGCCCTGGTTTATTTGTTGGTTTGTGTGTGGGTGCGTAGAAGCATTCTTTCCTCTTGTGGATTTTTCATTTCCGGACGTCAACGCCTTTCGCGGGGGTGCCACATTTTGGCCCCGGGGCCAATGTTGCCAATGGAGGTCGGGTTTTAAGGCTTTGCTCGGGTTAAGATTTGATGAATAATTTTTGAATTTGAATTAAAATAAGTTAGAATTAAAATTCGAAAAGCTCGAATCCCTACATAAAATAGTGCATTGCTTCCATTTTTCCTCGCTGCCAGCAGTGGCCGTGCGGAAATTGGGAATCCGTCATCGGCAGCCAGTCGGGGGGGGGGGGCGGAGAGGTGGTCGAGATGGGCCATTCCGGTGGTTCCTCTAGCGCTGAATCCACGTCAGTCTGTCCCGAAATCCCGGAATATATGCGCATTTTTGGTTGTTGCATTAATTCTGGATGTGGCCAATGAATTTTTCGAATTTTTGGCGTAGCAGACGAACAGCCAGGCTTTAGACAACGATTTTATATCTGCTCGAAGCTGACAACTAAGCTCCGGCGTAGGCTTAGCTTAGCTTTTTTAATCCTTCAAAGATCCTTAAGAGAGCTCTAAAAACAGTCGGGAGCGTCTTGTAGTCGGAAGTCATGACCCCCCGGGCCCATTGATGGCGCCTAATGCGATCAGGAAACGCGGTCATTTGCCTAATTCGCGTCCCAGAATTCCTCATTGGATAGAGAAAAAACAACTTCAGGAGCTGCATCAGCTTTTATTGATCGCGTTGACAAGTTAGCAACATTTACAAGTTATCAAGCTAGCACCTTTGTTTTAGTCGAATTAGAGGGTTGTAGTTTAATTTTTATAGTCTCTTGCTCCCCCCCGATAACACACCAGAACCAATGTTTCGACGTTCTCTTCAAAATTCCCGATATATTGAGCGTCGTTGGGCGGATATATCAATCTATCCTCTGGGGCCGATTGAGACCCCCATTTCGTGAGGGCAATTATTGCGTGTCTCTCCCCGGGCGCTGCGCCCAATTTCAGCTGTCCTCCTCGCGGGGCGATGAATTTTCGTGGACCGCTCCTCGAGGGGATATATGACTGGCTCCGTCATCAAAACCACTTTTCTCGTTTCATATTTCAGACAAAATCTCCGATTCTGAAGCTTTTCGGACCGCCGCTGCCCTCCCCCCCGTTAAGGAACCAGAGCAATTTAAAAATTAAATGTTGGTGGCTCAATTTTCTGTATTTTTTTGCATCTTTTTACAGTGTTCCCGCTAGCTCCCCCCGCTAATGAATCGGAACCCTTTTTATTCGAATTAGATTTTGGTAGTAATTCGGTGTAAATTAAAATTTAATAGTAAATTTTCTGTATTTTTGCGTCTTTCGTGGGCTTTTCCCGGCTCCCCACGCAACAGAACCAGAACCAGTGTTATAAAATACAGACTTCCGCAGTAAATCGTAAGTGTATTTTCACATTTTTTTTTCGAGCTTCCTCCCCCATCTTGAAGGGTCTCTGGTCTATATGGGATCTCGTTCTTCCCGTAGCCCTTTCGTCGTCTCGTTGTCCATCCGATGAATATTTCCCGATTGGTGCCCTGGTCGTGTCGACTCGTTGAGAAGGGCTCTCACTTCACAGATTGCTTCTCCCCCCTCGCTACGAGACGCCTTCTCATCCACCCACAACCAGTTGATTACCGATCGATTTTATGGCGCAGAAGTAAAGTAGTACGGGGGTAATCGAGAGCGTAGATTACTGCACGCTTATCATATTTTTAATAAAATTAGTTTTTATACCTTTTTGATTTAGCAGCACTTTTTATTGTTCTGGATGTTCAGGAGGTGATGCAAAGGGCGAATAGCATGGGGGTAAGACGGGCCAGGGTGAAAGGCCGCGAAGCGGCTTTCAATCCTGGCAATCTATGAAAACCGATAGAATTCCTTGAGAAAGTAACAAACAAAATTCGAGCCGAGGTGTCAACTAGTATTTTCCCGTTGTTTTGCCCCGCTCCACCGCCGGCTATGTGAGTGTGTATATTTGCGGATTGTTATTGCTTTGCCATCCATATATCGCCGGGTCTTCCTCAATTTTTGCTCTCTTGCTCCCTCTCTCTCTCTTTCGCTCTCTCTCGCTCTCTCGCTCTCTCGCTCTCTCTCCTTCTCTCTCCGTCTCTCACACTTCCGTTTCCACGTTATACCTTGCCCCGGCGCTTCGCGGGTGAAATTCCCTGCACTTTCATTCGGAAAACTCGACACATAAAACCGTAAATTACACATTTTCAGTTCGGCGATGCACACTCCGCCGTGCATCTACAAGACGCGCCAGACGTGGAGGCGGTTGAAGTTCAAGTTCAAGGAGGTTGGTGAGGAGCCTGCGGGGGTATTTTTGCAGTCACTATAGCTTTGAAATACGGTAGAAGATGCTGAGAAGCTTGCAGCCCTCAAAAATGACAAAAGCATATAGTATTCACCAGACTCGAAGGGTCGCAAAAATATTCCTGTGTGTGTTTCGCCGATGGCAGAATGCAGAGGAATTCATCGCCAACAAAATCCCTAGCGCTACCTCGACACAGGGACGTAGCGTAATACCGGCCCCGGGGGCCCGGGGCCCCGAAATCGGCGGGGCCCGAAAACCCTTTCATAAGGGGGACCCTTATGATTTTCATTTTCTCAAAAATTTTGCTGCCTGCGGCGCTATTTTTTCACGTTTTTACGGCTATTTTTAGAGCTATGTCACCTTTTTTTCAAAATTTTTTGCCTGCGGCGCTGTTTTCTCGTCAATGTTTTGAGTTTTTTGGAAAAAGTTTTTGGGGCCCCCCCCGAAATTTTTTTCTGGCTACGCCCCTGCCTCGACAGTACCTTTAAGACACCAAAAGGTTTAATTTTTGGGTGGATCGCACTGTACTTTTGGGTCATCGAAAAAGCAAAAAATCAAGCTGAGTCCTGCGTTTCCACCTGGCTACTCTATGCAGAAAGGGCAGGCGGGTGGTGAGGGTGGGGATTTTTGGTTAGATGTTGGCTTGCAACGTTCTCCAGATTAGGGCTATATATTATTGTACTCCATCTCACTTTCTCTCTCTTCCTTTAAGAATATATTATTTCAAAACATTTCTTGAGGGCCGCCACCCCCACATGGACCCGGAAGGGATTTCACGAGGGCCATGGGGGAAACGGATGCCGTGTTTTCGCTCGATTTGTCTCTGAATTTCCCCGCATGGGCTGAACACCCCCTATCCATTCAGAATTCCCACATTACACCATCATCAATCTAAATAACATAATTATTTGGCTGGGACCTGCCTGGGCGCCCCCGATTCCCGGCGAGATCAGTTTTTCTTCTAATCAACAGAATTCCCGAGGATCGCCTAACTGTCTATCTCTCTCTCTCTCTCTCTCTCTCTCTCTCTCGCTCTCTCTCTCTGTCTCTATCTGCTCTCTATCTCTAGACATCGCTATCTTTCTACGAATCCCTCGCCTCTTCTCGCATTTTTAGGTCTCTCGCTCCCTCGCCCTCGCGTGCTCTGACTATCTCTCTCTCGCTCTCTCTCTCTCTCACTCTCGTTCTCTCACTTCCCTAGAGACAACCATCAGTCCGTAATCCACCCAAAAATTAACTCACTTTCCGCGGTGCCCTAATATGTGGACCCCCACGAAAAACACCCCACAAATTTCCAGACCCGCCAGTTTCCTGTTTGCCAGAAAAGATACGGTATTCAGGGTAATAAACACCAGCCCTATTTAATTTTTTGCTCCGCCGGACCGTGGCCAAATGGTAGGGGCTGGGCTTGGGGGGTATGACCAGAGTTCGGTTCTTAGGTGGCTACACTCTTTGCGTTTTGTTTTTATGGGAAAAAGGGTATAGAAGATCTATTAAAGGGCCAAAGATGCAAAAATCTGCCCATGGAAGCGTCAGTTTGTGTGTCGCGGTACTGTCTAGACCTAATCGATGGAAGGAGTCGATTTTGGCACTCTTTAATTCCTTTAAAGGTAGCAAAAGGATCTTTTTAGACAATTGAATTCGTGAGTTTTTGCAGGCTTCACCCATCCGCAAAACCTTGCAAAAGTTGGCCCTAATTTGGGGGTGTGGCCGGCGGCTGCAGCTCATATTAGTCTCGGTCGAACGGTCAATTTATGAT